AGTATATTCGGCCTCAGGCCGAATACCGAATATTTGGCCAAACTATTCGGCTTGATTAATGCACGTACGAAAATTGGTGCGCAAACCTCATTATGGCAAGGACCCTGCTCTCTATTGGCCCACTGTCACTACTCTTCGCCAATCACGTTAATTCTTGACAGTTGTAGTGGACAGACAAGAGCATCATGGCAGTATGTGATAAATGATGATATCAAATGTGGATAACAATGAAATGACCTACACATGTAAATAACGGAAAAAGAACAGAGAAGGACCGCGAAGTGAAAATGTGAAAATAAATATGAAATTGAGTTGATAACATAATCGAACAAGTCGAGGCAGCTTATTGGCGCGAAATTCACGGCCATCAATGCCAAACAATTGTTGTCATAGACTTCAGAAAGTTAATGCTTGTAACGAAAGTCACTTAGCATGCACGGGCGAAAGCCTGGGGTCGTTCGGGCTACCAAGCTGTCTCAAATTTGTGAAATCATAACTGTGACATATACCGACGTTCTATCTGTCTCTTTTCTCCATTATCATTAGGCTATGAGTCATGTAATTACAAAATGGAAAAACTACGACAGAAAAGTGACAAATCGGAAGTATCATGAGCGCATATTATGATATATGCATAGGCATACGTACACTAGAGAGATGGAGGAAAGAGAAAGGAAAGAGCAAAGACGAGCACTTAGAAAGGATAGGCAGGTTCAGACCCTCACATGTGTGAGACAATTCTCGAATGAATAGGTGTGTGGTGCTGATCTTTGTAATTATAAATTGTGAATACATGTGACTAATATTATTATTTTTTTTTTTATTTTGTGCATGTTATAAGTTATAAATAAATATAAACAAACAACACTAACCCGACAACATTAAGTCTAATACCAAAATGATTAATTTTCTGTGTTTTTGTTATTTCTTACTCCTGTTTTTAGGTATTTGGTATTCGGCCAAATAGTGATTAAATATTCGGCCGAAAAATAGGCCGAATACTGAATAGTAACTGAATATTTGTTACATCACTAATAATAATAGTAATAATAATGTTGTTCTTGTGATGTTGGTAAAATGTATCTTACACTGCATATATACAAGTGCATAGTATTATGCCAGACCAAAGTCAAGGCATAACTGCAGAAAATGTTTTGTTTACATGCTGTTTGTGTATACAGTATATCTATGTTTAAGAATATCCTTACAGTGTGATGTGTTTATTATGACATCTTTCTGTAGTGTGTGTAATTTGATGCCTGTACAAAAAAGGATTATATGCACAATAAGTACCTTATCTATTGTCCACAGATGCTTTATTTCATGGACAAGTTATGAATATTTATTAATTCTTTCAGTGTATGAATTTTATATATTGCAAGTGTTTGGTATAGCTATGATGTAGGCGATCTTGTTTTGTTTGTCAATGAATGTGATTTCTGGTCTGTTGTGATAGATTGTTTTTTCTGTGATTATAACTCATAGGGTGAGAACCAAGGGGGTTAGTTGTCCCCACTTACCAGTGGCTCTGTCAGAGGATGGCTTTCGGAGGGCTAAATGTGAGTGGGGAGGTCATTGAGTACATCGACAGGTTCCGAATAATTTCACAGGTTGAACAAGAATAGCACGTTTAATAAACAACTATAAAATTATACATATCAAAGGCAAAAGCAAAAAGCTACACAAATAGAAATAATCAGAAATTCTATTCTAGGTCGCGACAATGATTCGTCTTTCCAATGGAATATCTAAGTTCTATTCTCAAAGTTAAACTAAGAGACGAGAGAGTATACAGATAGATTTCTTAAAAATACCTCTAAGTCTGGTATATGACATCATTGGGACTATCGTGGACCTGGGAAGTGGTCATCTGGTTATCTTGGGATAGAGACAGCTAGTATGGTGAGGTGGCGACAGACAGAGTGGCAGTGTGGGTCTGTTGACTCCTGTTGATGTCCCCTGCTGATGTTCGCCTGGAGGACTGTGTCCAAGCCCTTTTTATACATGTCCCTAAGGGGGTGGAAGATCGGGGAACATTCTGTTGCAATCCAGGCAAGTTTGACGTGTCCAGGATTGTTTATACTAATTGTCAGAAATCGAAACATTTCTGTAGATTTATTACTTCTTCTATCCAGTATTGTCACTATTTCCAACTGATAAATTTGATAACAGTTGTCAAACTGATGGAATTAATGGCTGGAGGTGACTAAGGTTAGGGTATGTAGTGCAACCTTAGTAATAATTGTTCATTTGATGGGTCATGTGATCGGTTTTATCATTGTTAAAATCAGATGAAGTAGGAAGTGTGTGGGTTATGTTTTTCTCTTTTCCCTCAGGAAGGGTTAAGAGGTCACTTCTCGAAGTTTGAAGGAAGAGGGGAAATAATGATGAGAAAAATTAATCAAACTGTCAAAATTCATAAATGGGCTTGAATTCTCACAATAGTAATCTGTATATTTTGTGTGTTGTTTTCTACAACTGTCTGAGCTGTGTATTTGTAGTATGGTTCTTTGGTGTTATTGTTTGTTTGTGTTTGTGTGCAAGCTTTTAATATATTAGCATTTGGTTCTGTCAGTGTAAGTAGTCAGTTTGTGTTAAAAGCTTGCAACCCAATGTGATTGTTTTGTGCATGATGTGGCATTTCATACAAGTGTAGTCTTCTAATATATAGTTTCTTATATTTATGAACGGGACTTGTATGGAAATTAACAGCTGGTTGACTCTTGGATGATGTCAACTAGCTGTTCTGTCAACCTGATCCTGGCTGATATTGTTGAGATGTATATCATGGAGCTTCTTATGAACCCAAGACTTGTGTAATGATATCTATACGTTTTGTGAACTATTAAATCTAGATCAATTTGTGTAAGTCTAGTAGTGTACTATTTTTGTTTGCAAAGAGTTAGCTCTTTGCAGACAAAAACTCTATAGAAAAACTTTTGTAGTGTTTGTATTTTTAAAATATCTGTGAGATTTCACCCTCCCTCTTTGAGGAAGGATCAAACTTTCTTTGGATGGCTTAAGGTGGTGCTTCTGTTTTAAAGTTTTTTTTTTTTTCCTTTGAATTCTACTTCTTAGTGTGCCCACTGTACAGAAAGATTTGCTCAGGATTGAACACTTACTTTATTCAATATTTTGTGATTGCACAATCACATTTGAATAACATGTAATGTAAAACTTGCCTTCTGCTTCATCATGAAATGATCATTCCATTCATGTTGCATGCTAATTTCATTTTATGTGGATATATTCCACATAAAAAGTGTTCAGTCCCAAGTGAATTGCTCTGTATAACTCCAAACAAATATGTCAGTAATGGGACATGTATGTTGATAGCTTTAAATGTTTGTTTTGCATTCAGATATGTTGTTAATAATTATTGTTCTTAAACTCACTATTATTATTATTATTGTGTTGGGTTTAGTGGATTCTACTCGGTTTACACCGGTGGCTGTGTACTATGCCGGACAAGAGTCAAGGCATAGCAACCAAAACAAAACTAAAATTAAATGCGTGTGTCAGAGTCTGTATTCAGGAATTTCCTAATATGGCATGTATTCAATATAGTGGCCTTCTGTAGTGTTATGTATGTATTTCTATTCAATTGTAATGTTCCCAGGCTTTTGTGTAGTGTGTGTGGTATCACACCTGTATGTTATTATTATTATTATTATTAATATTATTATTATTATAAATATATTATGTATAATATAAACACTGTGTTTCAGATCTTGGACTCTCATTCATATTCACACACATTAACCCTGATAATCAAGATGAGCAGTTTGAGTTTTGCCTTAAGATAATAGATAATGATGAATACAGTGGTATGTTAATATTTTTTGTCATCTTCATAAATTTTAATAATTTAAAAAAGAAAATCATATATGCTATGAGATATTTTAATTTTATACACTTAAATACTTTTTGTAAAAATATTTAAATTTAGTTTTTGTAAGTATATGATTGATTATTTATATTACTTTTAACCTTAATATCATTCCATAATAAGGTATTATTTATTAAGCACTTTAATATTGCTAACATGTATGCAAAAAATACAACAATCTCTAAAATGTTTTATTGAGTTTAAAATTAGCAAAAGTGAGTATCATCTTTATTATTTCCAAAACAATTTTAAATAGTAGTTTCAGTTTCATTCACTAACAAATGATAAACTTAGAAAATCAGTGATCCACATTGGAATCCTTTACCGAAATACCAACTTTTAATACACTTTTTTGAAATTCTAGTGAATCATATTGGTCACACTGTGATTAGTGATTTTAGCAGATACTATATCTTTATCTATTATGTTTATTATATAAATATAATAACTGTAAAAGTACATATTCTGCATATGAGTAACTTGCTCCATTCTGTTGGATATTCTGTATGCATTAGACACTCACTTTTACCTTGTAAAATTAAAACTATTCACACTTTTGCTGGAAAAGCAAATGGGTTTAATGAACAAATATATAAACTTTTTTGTTTGTTTTATAAACCTCCCTAAGGGAATTTTGTAGTTTGAAACCTGAGGCAGGGTTATAAAATAAACTGAAAGCATTTGTATATTCTTTCATTAAACCCATTTGCTGGAAAAGTATGAATAGTTTAGATTTTACAAGTTATCTATTCCAGTTTTGATTTTGTATCTCATTTTTACCATTTTCTTTAAAATATCTGCTTTAAGGATTAGCATAACTTTTTTGTTTTGGTTGTTTGAAATGCCATAATCTTTTGTTGGCTATTTTTGTTTAATAATATATAGTTAAAACTATTTCTAAGAATGCAGGCTGTTTGACACTGACTTTATATAGGAAATGAATTGGATTGTAAACATTATAGCGTACAGTCGACCCCCCTATAATTACGGTCCCTATAATTATGATTCCTATAAAACTACGAAAAAATTGTGACCGGTATCCGTAAAAAACAGTAAAAATTCCCTATAATTACCTCAAACGTCATCAGGCAGCCAAACTACTTTCCCTAATCTCTCCGTAGCACCACGCTACGGAGAGATTTCTATCGTCTGGACAGTATTATATAAATTATATATAAATTAGGTACTGTACATATAATTATATATTAATTATATATAAATTAGGTACTGTATATATAATTATATATTAACTTATTGTAACTTTGTTATAATTAAATATATAATTTCCGCCGTCTAGCGTGGCGCCACGCTACGGAGATTTTTACGCTAACTATCGTCTGTCAGTATGTAAATTAGGTACCGTAAGTCTAATACAGTACTGTAATTTTATACATTTCTTGTGAAAGAAACATTTCTTATTCAACGGCGATTAAAATTATTTATATTAATGATGTCTCCGAAGTTCTACGAAGTTTTCACAGAAAAATAAGTTGTTAGAAATCGGCCGCTCTTTGCTGAGCTGTTCCGCGACGAAAACAATGTTGAGCAATGGCAATGTCGAATGGTGACACTCGGTAAGTAATCCTACAATTTTTTGTTTATAGCGTAGTTTATACGGATTATTTCCAAAAAAAAATATACGTATTTTGGAAATGTTGAGTCGGATTAGTCTAGAATCGATTAATTTTATGGAAGAAAACCTTTCAATCAGCCGTAGTCCGTAAACTTGACACGTGTCGGGCTGTGATTGGAATGACTTGTAAGAAATCGGATTCCTAAAGAATGGAATGTATCTATATCTTATAGGGGGTCGACTGTATTAGAAAAAACTTCTGTATATACATTTTATAAGCACACACTATATATAGGAACTAACTAAAAACAATTTGATAATTTTATTTTTAAAATGTTACCAATAGTATTTTAATTATCTATCAATTTTCTGACATTAAATATCTTTTTTCTAAATGTTTTTCTAGTGCATCTTATCTCTCTCTCATTTAAATTTTGCTTCTAGTCAAGCTTTGCTTCATTTTTCCTAAAAATTATGTTGGATTTCTTATTAAACTATTAATTATCTACAAGTTGTTTTAACAATTTTGCAATCACTTTGTTAATTTGGGCACAATTAGATTGTTAAGCTCATCATCTTAGGCTGCTCAAATTGATTGCTCTCCTTTCTTATTATCTTACATTTCTGTATGTGTTTTATGATTAATACAATGTACTAATATGCAAATAAGCAAATATTTTCTTTGCAAATGATCGTTGAATTTACCTTACATCCAATAATACAGCAATCTCCTTAATCTAGTCATGAGCTACATGGAACTTGTGAGGTCCTAATATATAGCCTCCAGGGCTTTGTCTCAACATAATTTTATTTTCCTATTTGTCTTGTGCCATTATGTAATCCTAATTTAGTTTGAATAGTCTTTGTCAAGAATATAAGCTTAACTAATTGAAAAGATAAGAATAAACTATGAAAGCAAGCCTATTACTAGTTTGTATATCATTACCTAATGATGTACATGTACAAACTAGCCATATATATGTATATATATTCAAGATGGGTTGATAATGATGATAATAAGTGCAGAGCCCAAACAGTTAGGAATTGAAGGTTGAAATTTGGTACACAGAATACATCATGAGAGTGTACACTAATAAGGGATTTTGAAAAAGTCTCCCCCCTGCAGGGAAGAGGGAAGAGATAAGATTAAGGCTTATTCTGAAGAACTTTGGTGCTACTGTAACATTTTAAATGTGGGTTTTTGCATTTTAGTAGAGTATGCCATTAGAATGCACATTAATTAAGAAGGGATTTTTGGAAATTCTACCGCAAGAGAAGAAGCGGAAGGAGTTAGTTTTAGTCAGTATAAAGTGTAAATCATAAAGAAGGAAAATAAATAGTGACACATATTTATTAATTGCCAAAATGTATATTATATCTTAATCATTTCCACCTTTCAAGTAACCCAAAAACAATAAATTCAAAATAAACAAATTCGAATGAATATATGAATTTGTTCCAAATTTGAAAATTCAAAATATTGAATTTGAAATATAATATTCCAAACAAGTTTTTTTTTAATTTTAGGATTTAAAATTAATCATTTTATTTCAAATAATGTTAAAAATTTCTCATAAATTTGACCCTAATCCTATAATATAATTGAGAAGGATTAATAATAATAATAACTCTCCTGTGGTTTCCACCTGGTCGTGATGGGAGAGCCCAGTAATTTTACTGATCCATAGGGCAATGCACGCTGGAGCACAATCTCCTAGTAGGGACACCCATGCCAGTAAGGCCTATGGGGAGAAATGAAGCTAAGAGTGACCACACCCACATTCTGTGGAGATATTTATCATGGTAGTAACCAGATCAAAGTCTAATACCGGTCGGACATCATCCGGGTTAACAAGGTCCGTGTTTGTGGGTTAGGCAGAGGCTCACGTTCGAAAAATAGGCCACAGTCTCCCTTGGTTACCAGTGGTGAAAGCAGCGCCGGCCCAAGCATGGCTATTGCAATGCCCTCAACAGATGTGAGGAATCAGCCTAGCCTTGGTGTTTCCATGACAAATACATCCACAGACCACAAAGGCTGGAAAACCATGCCAATGGATGAAATGGACAACAGAAATGAAAGAGTTTATCATCCGTACTTACTACACCATCACAAGACTCGAAACAAACATGACAGCATACAGACAACAACTACACCATAGATTCACACAACAATATCCTCACCTCACTGTCACCGAACAAAGGGTTGTTGATCAAAAACGAACAATTATACACAACAACCTTATCCCACAAACAACACTTGAACTTATCAAACAACAGGTTGCTGATCAAATACATCAACAGACAGAAACATTTAACATTAATGAAGATCACGTAACCTGTCAGGATAATCCAGCAACAAGCACTGATTACAGCACACACACAACAAGTACCACTAATGATACTGCAGGCACTTCCCCATCCATCACTGATAACGTAGACATAGAATTAGTTAATACACTCTCACTTATATTTCAGGAAACACTCACTAAATATACAGGTACAGATCCCACACAAAGACCACGAATACCGAAAATCAACACGTCAAAGGTAGTAGGAAAAACACTAAATTATGTAAACACTCACTTACTACCAAACTACATTCATTCAATTTCTACACTCTCAGACATTCATACATTAGTTTATGCTGGGGCAGTCACAGTAGTAACACACCATGGACTGAAAATACACTCACAGACAGACACACACAAAACACAATTCTATCACAAGCCTGCCTGGCAGAGAAGAATAGAAACACAAATAAATGACATTAGACAGCAATTAGGCAGGCTGACACAATACACTAAAAACAACATAACACCCAAATTAAAGAAACAACTCAAAAACATTTTCAAGAAAATCAAAACACACACAAAACATGAACATCACAACACACACATTACAGAATACATCGATACACTAAAACAAAAACTCGCAGCCAAAGCACGTAGACTCAAACGATACAAAACATGTACACTACGAAAACAACAAAATAAATTATTCACAAACAATGAAAAACTTTTCTACAGACAAATCAGTACCAAAACAAACACTGATACACAGCACAGTGGCACACCAACAGAAGAAGAACTCACAACTTATTGGTCTTCTCTTTGGTCCAATGCTGATGCAGGCTGGATCGAGGAGAAGAACAGAAACTTGCACAACATACCAACTATGCCCTGTGCTGAAATAAATGTACATGACATCTGCTACACTGTTAACAGAACACACAACTGGAAGACGCCTGGTGTAGACAGCATTCACAATTTCTGGTACAAAAAATTTACATCACTGCACCAGGAACTTGCCAAACATCTAACACATATCATCATCAATCCACAAGACATGCCAAAATTTCTTACTCA